GCATTTTCTACTATGGCCAAGTAGAGGAGGAGTTCGGTGTTGTGATTCGGCCTCTGTAGGATCGGTGGGGTTGAGAGAAAGGTTTTGAAGCTTTGGAAAGCTTCTTCGCACTGACCTGTCCATGGGAAGTCTTTTGGCTTCTTTAGCAGGGTAAAGATTGGCCCTGCTTTCTCTGCGAGTTTGGGGATGAATCGGGACAGTGAGACTAACCTTCCTGCTAGGCGTTGGACCTCTTTCACCGTTTGTGGACTTTGCATCTGGATGATGGCTTTGCACTTCTCGGGATTGGCCTCGATTCCTCTGCTAGTGATCATGAAACCGAGGAACTTGCCCCCCTGGACGCCGAAGACGCACTTCTCCAGGTTGAGACGCATGTTATGCTTTCTGATCTGGGCGAACACCTCGGCGAGGTCGGTAGCATGGTCTATTGCCGAGGTGGTTTTGACTACCATGTCGTCGACGTAATCTTCCATGTTCCGCTCGATCTACTGGTGAAAACCTTATCCATCAGTTGCTGGTAAGTTGCCCCCGCGTTTTTGAGGCCGAAGGGCATCACCCGATAGCAGTAGTTGGCGTGGTCGGTGATGAAAGACGTATGCACCTCGTCAGGTGGGTACATCATTATCTGATTGTACCCAGAGTAGGCGTCGAGGAAGCTAAGGAGGGCGTGCCTGGATGCTCCGTCGACCAGCCTGTCAATGCTTGGCAAGGGGTATGAGTCCTTGGGGCATGCTCTGTTCAGGTCGGTGTAATCGACGCACATGCGCCACTTTCCCGAACTCTTCTTCACCAGAACCACATTCGCCAGCCATATGGTGTACCTAACTTCACGAATGAAGCCGGTGCTCAGCAACTTTTGTGACTCGGTGATGATGGCTTTTCGCCTCTCACCACCGACCTTTCTCTTCCTCTGCGCCACTGGCTTTGCTTCCTTGTGTATTGCTAACCTTTGACAGATGAAGTCAGCGTCTATACCTAGCATGTCAGCGCTGGACCAGGCGAAGAGGTCGGCATTTTAGAGGATTTTCGCTTCGAGCTGCTGTCGTAACTCCGGGCTCAACTGTCGGCTGATCTTTGTGCATTGCCTGGGGAATTTTCCGATCTGGAGGTCATCGAGCTCGTCGACGGGGCTTGGCCGTTCGTCATGAGAGTCAGACCTCGGATCGAGATCAGTGATTTCTTCGTGGTTGATGCGAGCTACGGTGGGAGGGTCACTTTTGCATTGTTCACCAGGTGAGGCGATCTTCAGGCTTTCGGTGTAGCATTGTCGTGCCGTCTTCTGGTTCGCCTTGATAGAGATAATCTTCCCATCATTCCCTGGGAATTTCATAGTGAGGTGTGGGGTGGATACTACTACTCCGAGTTGATTCAAGGTCGGCCTCCCGATGATTATGTTGTAGGAAGTGTTGGCTTCCACGAGGAGGTACCGAACCATGACCCGCCTTGTGTTTGGAGGTGTTACAAAAGTTGTCAGTAGGTCCACGTACCCCCGAGTGTGAACTCTCTTTCCTGCAAAACTGACTAGGGGCTCTATGTGAGGTTGTATGAGAGAGTGGGGGATGTCTAACCTGAGGAAGGTCGGCCAATATAGGACGTCGGCTGAACTTCCTTGGTCAATAAGCGTCTTCTGGACCTCCCAGTTGGCTACTTCTACGGTGATGACCATGGGGTCATCTTGATTCGGGTTGACACCAGCGTAGTCTTTGTCGGAGAAAGAGATCGGAGGTGAGTTCCGATGCGACGCCGAGGTGGCGGAGTGGACACTGTTGATATTGCGCAGGTGTCTCTTCTGGGCCGAGCTGGTGGCACCTCCTCCTGCAAAACCACCTGCAATTGTATTGATAACTCCCCGTAGGGGAGCTGATCCTGTCTCTTGGCTTATCTCGGCTTACACTGCTCCGCCGACATTTTGTTGTGAACCAGAGGGTTGGTCCGTGCGAGCCCCTGAACCGCGGCCTCTGCCCCGTCCTTGTCCGCCATAGCCTCCTCGGTGACCCTGCTATCGCTGGACATATTGGCCGAGGTGGCCTGCCTGGATGAGTTCTTCAATACGGTCCCGAAGTAAGCGACACTCCTCGGTGGTGTGACCGTGATTCCTATGGTATCAACAATGCTTAGATTTGTCGGCGCTGTTGGGTGTGTGCCTTGGCGGTGGGAGGGTGAGCAGATTGTTGTTACTGGCCTCCTCCAGGATATGCACCCTGGGCGTGTTCAGGGGAGTATAGAAGTCATATATCCCCCCTCTGTTTGTTCTAGCCGAGTTCTTGAACTGGCTGTCGTTGTTGACTTTGACCTTGTCCTTGTGACCCTGTTCCGGCTTCATTGGACCCTTTCCACGAACCTGGTCAGGGAATGCGGAGTGGTCCTCCATCTGAATGTAGCCCGCAGCACGGGCGCGGAGCTCGTCCATGTCGCGAGGAGCCTCGCGGCATAGGCTATCGACGAATGGCCCGGGCTTGAGTGCCATGAGCATGGCATGTAGGGCGACTTCGGGATTCAGATTTCTGATCTTGATCGAGATTGTGGCAAATCGCTCCATGAATGCCCGGAGTGGCTCGTCGTCGTTCTGTCTGAGACTGGCCAGGGCGGCAGAGGTGATGTGGTGAGGTCGGCTCGTTGCGTACTGCGCTGTGAACCGCTTGACCAGAGTGCTGAAGCTGTCGATCGACTCAGCGGGAAGCTGGGTGTACCAGTTGAGTGCGGCCCCCTTGAGCGAGGTCGGAAAGATCCTACATAAAATAGCATCATTGTTAGTGTAGAGGTTCACCTGTGTCGTATACAGGTCGATGTGCTCATCGAGGTCCGTTGTGTCGTCATAGCGATCGAGGTGGAGAGGCTTCCACCCCTGAGGGAGTGGTGTCTCCATGATACCATCCACAAAGGGATGACGGCGGAAGGTTGCTTGACCCCCTATGACATGAGATGGGGCTTTGCTGACTTCATGGGCCGACTTGTTCGTCGGAACATGAGACTGATGCGTGGCAGGTCGTGGAGTCGGTGCCCTAGTTGCAGTCCAGGACTGAGAGACCGAATGCTTGTCTCCCTCGTGGAAGTTGCTTGCTTCAGGAGGATGATCCTAGGGGCATCGAGGGAGCTGGGCGCGAATCCGCTCGTTTTCAGCGCGTAGCGCCGCTAGGTCAGCTTCATTGGCGGTCCGCATTGCCCCTAGGTCGATTTCGTGCTGGGCACGCATGTTTCGCAGATCGGCATCGTGTTTTTGCCGCATCTGTTCGACCTGGTCGATCAGTCTCCTCAATGTGGCTTCGGTGTCCATGGTAGTTGAGTGATATGCGTCGTCTGTTGCGCGTCTATTATGGTTTCTGGTGAATACCATAAGCGTGGCCGATAAGAGTCGTCTTGATCGGCCCCACGGTGGGCGCCAAATGTTCTTACCGGAAATCTACTATAGAGATGATCTGCCGAGTAAGATTGGTGAGCCTCCTTCGCTGGTACGTTGGTGTTCCAAGATGGGGGTGGTACCTGCAAAAGAAACTCCGATGCTAAAGTTAGTGTTTGTATGAGTATGAGTCTCGTATAAGTAATGCACGTACCTTAGTGTGAGTTAGGGTTGCGTTGGGCCTTGGGCCTAAGATAAGATATGATATGATTAGATAACGGATCTCATCTGGAGTGAGATCCCCTAAGATCGGTTATGATCTATTTAAGTGCCGAGCTGACGCCGTGCAACGCGCGTCCGAGGTCATTCTCCGCTGCGATGCCGAGCTCTGCGTGGCGGTACGGATAGTACATATTATAATAACATTTTTTAAAGAAATTATTTATATAGATCAAAATAAATAAAGAAGTAAATATAACATTTCAATTTTTAATAGATTTTACTATTTCTTTTTCATTTCTCCTTCTTCGTACATACATACATACATACATACCTGAGGAAG